CACAAATCTATCAGTCCCCAACACCAAACTCATGATCTGACCATCATGTACTACACCATATCAGGAATTCACAACACAAATTCATTCATTCAACACACATTCTTGAGAACATATTATGTGCCATCATGTGCTAAGAGATACAGAATTGAATTTATTTATTTATTTTAAAAGACTTTATTTTTCAAAGTAATCTCTACACCCTATGTGGAGCTCGAACTCAAAACCCTGAGATCAAGGGTCACACACTTCAACAACTGAGCCGGCTAGGCACCCCTCATTCATAGATACATTTAAAAAGTATTTACTGAGCATGTGCTTTGTGCACTATTCTATTAGGTGGGGATACAGAAGTGAAAAAGCTCATCAGCTCCTTTCTTCTCTCATGGGTGTAAGATGTGGAAGAGACAGTCAATAAACAAGTGCTCTGTTTTGAAGAGAAATAAAATAAGGTGATGTGAACTAATAGCAAGTCTGGCCAGTTTAGATTAGGTAGATGGTCAAGTCAGGACTCTTAGAGGAGATAAACTTTTTTTTTCAAAAATTTTTTTATTGCTGAGAGAGAGACAGAGTGTGAGCAGAGGAGGGGCAGAGGGAGAGGGAGACACAGAATTCGAAGCAGGCTCCAGGCTCTGAGCTGTCAGCACGGAGCCTGACGCGGGGCTCAAACCCACAGACCGTGAGATCATGACCTGAGCCAAAGTCGGAGGCTCAACCAACTAAGCCACCCAGGTGCCCTTAGGAGATAAACTTTTTAAGCCAAGATCTAAATGAGAAGAGAGATCCAGCCAAGGAAGGGTTGGGAAAGAGTAACCCAAGAGAGAGGGGGGTGGGAAATCCAGTGCAAAGTCCTAAGGTCAGAGTGAGTATAGTTGTGGCCAGGGAGCAAAAAGAAGGACAGTATGACTGGAGTGTAGAGGGCCAGGAGAAGGGTGGTATGAAGAGAGATCCTAGAAAGAAGCAAGAGCAGCTCATGGAGAGTGTTATAAACCAATTTCAGGTGTTTGGGTTTTATTCTAAATGTAACAGTATGTAGTTAGGATGTAGGTTGGCTGCTGTAACAAAATATAGTGGCTTAAACAAGACAGGGCTCAACAGAATGGTTCAGTCCATGTCAGTCCTTATAAGTAATTGATATAAAACCTAAACTGTGTGGCATTTGCAGACTTACTCATTAGGTTCCTTAGACTCTATGATGGGAAAGTTTAAAGAATCAGTATGACTTAGTGAGATATAATTTTATTATGATTAGGTTATTACAAGATATTTTGAAAACAAATTTACCTTGACTCACCCTAGAGAGACAAGGTAGCTGAGGGGCTAAGACACCAGGCACTGGACTCACCATCTATTAACTTTGTGACTCTGAGGCAGTCATATGACCTCTCTAAGCACCACCTTCCATATCTGTGAAAGGTGAACTGCGGTAGCAGTGACGCTGTAAGGCTGTTGTTGTAAGGATCAAGCTATATACAATTAGTATTACATAGCTCAATGAATGTTAGTGGTTGTTATTAAAAAGACATCAAGTGGCCACTGCCTCATTTGCATGACAGAGTCAGTATGGAGTGGAGATGCTATCTGCCTTGAATAGATATAAATGTATGGATTCATCACCCAGGACAAGTTACTAAGGTCATCCTAAAGGTGGGCAATGGATTAATGTTATGGTACTGGTAACAAATTTATTTTCCCATATTTTTAAAGTCTGGAAAATTATCATGAACATAAAGTTGTATTATAGGGGCTCTTTTTTTTATGTTCGTGGTTTGTTCTTATATTGATCATTGGATGCTATATTAAGTGTCATATAAAAAGGAGTGACCAAGAAAAGGCTACCTGGGATAAATTGGAAGAATATTCTCAGTGGAAAGGTGAAAACCCCAGGCCAGTTCCAGGTTACCATCTTCTCAACCCCATTCCCCACCCAGTGTCTTTTGTGCTTTCTTCCCCTGAGCACACAATGGACAAGGAATATCAAAATCAAAGTTTTCTCTTTACAGTCATGTCACAAGATGGTCAAGCATTTCTGTATCCATTTTTCTATATTCTACAAAATAGTTTTATAAAGTATTTCATTTTTAAGTTATTTTGGGAAATGTCCACATTTTCTAGAATTTCTAAACAACAACGACAAACTTAGGCAGGTTCTAGAGAAAGAAAAATCTAGATGAGCATGAGGTAATATTCCAGGTGTCCTCTTGTATGAGTTCTGCCTGTTTTGTCCCCCCACCATGCCTTCATACATATTATCTCATTTATTTATCTTGAAACTCTGGGAGGGGAGTACTATTTCCTGCATTTTACAGATGAGGAAACTCATGGATGCAGAATTCTGAGGACTTTGAGAGAAGAGTCAGACTTCAAGTTGTTTGGACACAGAACAGAGGCAATTAAAGAACTAAGTTTTTCATAATATTCATTATTCAATATATTTATTAAGTACCCACTCTGCTGGGAACTTTTCTGGGCACTGGGGCTATAGCAGTGAATAAAACAGATAGAACTTCTGTTCCTACATAGCTTACATTCTAGTAAGGGGTAAGAAAAGAGAGTCTATAAAAAAATAATAAATGTGCATGTTAGGTGGTGAGAAGGGCTAGAAAGAAAAATAACTTTTTGGGGCACCTGGGTGGCTCAGTTGGTTAAGCATCTGACTTCAGCTCAAGTCATGATCTTGCAGTTCACGACTTCAAGCCCCACATCAGGCTCTGCTGATAGCTCTGAGCTTGGAGCGTGCTTTGAATTGTGTGTCTCCCTCTCTCTCTCTCTGCCCCTCCCCTGCTCATGCTCTGTCTCTCTCTGTCTCTCAAAAATAATGAACATAAAAATGTTTTTTAAAAAAGAAAAGAAACATAACTTTAAGATAAGGAGAATAGAGAGTGGGGAGTGATATTTTGTAGAGGGTGGTCAAAAAAGTCTCTCTGATGTGGTGATCTTCATGCAGAGATGTGAAGGGAGTGAGGGAGCATGCCACTTGTCATCTAGGGAAAGTGTATTTTGGAAAAAGAACAGCAAATCCAAGTTCAAAAATCTGATGTGGGAGCATGCTTGGAAAGTGTAAGGAATGACCAGACTAGAGTTGGAGAAATGGATTGAAGATGTCAGCTGTTGCAAGGACTCAGGATTTTCCTCCAGTTGAAATAAGAAAATAGTGGAGGATTTGTACTAGAAGAGGGTCAGATTCTGATGTACATTTTAAAGATTCCTCTGTTTGTTGGGTGGAAATGACTGAAGAGGCACAAGGTTGATAGGAAAGACCCCCTGGGTCTCTATCAAGAAGTGGTTAGATTCTAATATTAAATTTGTAAACTCTTAAACTTTATGTCTTCCTACACCATGCACTGGGAAAACACCAAGGTGAGGTAAGTACCTTGGTGAGAGTTTTCCTGCTTAATACATGCGTGTATATTCTGCTTAATACATGTGCCCAATACACACCAACCCTCACTTTCCTCAGGCTGGTCACTCCCACAGAACAGCAGGAGGAACAAAAGATATAATACTTCATGGGAAGATATGGTGTAGTGAGACCTCTCTGCTGTTCATGCTATCCCATTGTTCTGAGAAGCTATGTGGTGTGTGTGCCCATGTACCTGTGCAGACATGGTGTATATATTTTGGCACTGTAGAAAGCCCCCAAGAAATGGAAACTGTTATTATCATTATTTCTCTTATTTGTCAGTGATCCAGATTGCTGTTGCCACCAACCTGAAGACATATGGAACCATAAGGACATGAACAATTCTGTTTATTTCTGTTTTAGACCTTCCATGTGTATGGGCAAGCATTGTTGAAAATCAGATATTAGCTCAAAGGACTCTCTATGTCCACAAATGTAAAAGTTGAGGAACAATTCCTTGACGTTAATTCAGGAGCCCATAGTATTTGGTAATAACAAAGTACCTTCATTGAGAGTTTAAATCTTGCACAAAAACTGCACATAGATGTTTATAGCTGCTGTATTCATAATTGCCAAAACTTGGAAGAAACCAACATGTCCTTCAGTAGGTGAATGGATAAACAAACTATGGTACATCCGGATAATGGAATACTATACTGTGCTAAAAGGAAACAAACTATCAAACTATGCAAAGAATGGAGGAACTTTAAATGCATACTAGTAAGTAAAATAAGCCAATCTGAAAAAGCTATATACTGTATGTTTCCAGCCAAATGACAGTCTGAAAAGGACAAAACTATGGAGACAATAAAAATATCAATGGTTCTAAAGAGTTGTGGAGTACAAGGAAGATGAATAGGCAGAGCATAGAGGATTTTTAGGGCAATGAATGTATGCATAATGATGAATGCATGCCACTATACGTTTGTCCAAACTCATAGAATGTCCAACACCAAGAGTGAACAATAATGTCAATTGTGGACTTTGAGTGATTATATTGTGTCAATGTAGGTCCATCGATTGTAACAAGTGTGCCATACTGATGGAGAATGTTGCTAACTGGGGAGGCCATGCAGGTGTGGCGGTTGGGGGGATATGGAAAAATTTCTATACTTTCTCCTCAATCTTTCTGTGAGCCTTAAACTTCTCTAAAAGAATAAAACCTTAAAATTTTTCACTTTCAATTTTCTTAAAGCCTTCAGGCTATCCAAATGGGATGCAAGGGAGTGTTGAATATGGCATGGCAATGAAATTCTGAAGTTGAACTGGGAGAAGGGCACTTCTGCCAACTATTATATGTATCCCTTCTGGGAATTCTGACTTGCCTCAGTGATGGGGATATGCACAGCAACTGGCTTGGAAATCTGTAAGCCAAACTCTCAGATCATGTCACGATCTCAGATCATGTCAAAGACTCAATATACAGGTTAGAACTCTGTTCCAAACTCTTGGTGAATATAGTGAATTTTGGGCATCAAAAATAATCCTGTAGGATTTAAAAAATGACATAACCATTTAACATTATATATCTTTCTAGGATTTTGAACTCATCTTCATCATTCATATGAAGGAACCAAGTGATTGAATCCTTGGAATTACAATGACACTTATCAGAAGCGTTTATGTATTTTGTAGTATTGTTATGTCAGTGCCGGGCTACGCGTCAAAGCCACCAGAAGACAGGGAATTGACAACCAACCGCTCCAACATGTCCCTAAGAAAGGTTCCTGCAGACTTGAGCCCAACCACAACCACACTGGATTTATCCTACAACCTCCTTTCTCAGCTTCAGAGTTCAGATTTTCGTTCTGTCTCTAAACTGAAAGTTTTGATTCTATGCCATAACAGAATCCAAGAGCTGGATATCAAGACCTTTGAATTCAACAGAGAGTTAAGATATTTAGATTTGTCTTACAACAGATTGAAGATTGTAACTTGGTATTCACTGGCAGGTCTCAGACATTTAGATCTTTCTTTCAATGACTTTGACAGTGTGCCTATCCATGAGGAGGCTGGCAACATGTCACAACTGGAAATCCTGGGTTTGAGTGGGGCAAAAATACGAAAATCAGATTTCCAGAAAATTGCTCATTTGCATCTAAATACAGTCTTCTTAGGATTAAGAAGGCTTTCTTATTATGAAGAAGGTAGCCTGCCCATCTTAAACACAACAAAACTTCATATTGTTTTACCAATGAACACAAATTTCTGGGTTCTTTTGCGTGACGGAATCAAGACTTCAAAAATACTAGAAATGACAAACATAGATGGCAAAAGCCAATTTTCAAGTTATGAAACTCAACAAAATCTTACTTTAGCGAATTCCAAGACATCTATTCTATTGCTTAATAAAGTTGATTTACTCTGGGACGACCTTCTCCTCATCTTCCAGTTTGTTTGGCATACATCAGTAGAATGCTTCCAAGTCCAACATGTGACTTTTGGAGGCAAGGTTTATCTTGACCATAATTCATTTGATTACTCAAATACTGCAATGAGAACTATAAAATTGGAGCACATACAGTTCAGAATTTTTTATATTCCACAGGAAAGGGTCTACTTGCTTTTTACCAAAATGGATATAGAAAACCTGACTATATCAGATGCACAAATGCCACACATGCGGTTTCCTAATTATCCTACAAGATTCAAACATTTAAATTTTGCTGATAATATCTTAACAGATGACCTGTTTAAGCAACCTATCCAATTGCCTCATTTGAAAACTTTAATTTTGAAGGGCAATAAATTGGAGACACTTTCTTTAGTGAGTTTCTTTGCCAACAACACATCCTTGAAGCACTTAGATCTCAGCCAGAATCTGTTACAATATGAAAATGATGAAAATTGCTTTTGGCCAGAAACCTTGATCACTATGAACCTGTCATCCAACAAATTTGCTGATTCTGTTTTCAGGTGCTTGCCCAGAAGTATTCAAATACTTGACCTGAATAATAACAAAATTCAAACTGTCCCTAAAGAGATTATTCATCTGAAGTCTTTGCGAGAACTAAATCTCGCATTTAACTTTCTAACTGATCTTCCTGGGTGCAGTCATTTCAGAAAACTCTCAATTCTGAACATTGAAATGAACTTAATTCTCAGCCCATCTCTGGATTTTTTCCAGAGCTGTCAGGAAGTTAAGACTCTGAATGCAGGAAGAAATCCATTCCGGTGTACCTGTGAATTAAGAGATTTCATTCAGCTGGAAAAATATTCACAGGGCATGATGATTGGATGGTCAGATTCATATATCTGTGAATACCCTTTGAATCTAAAGGGGACTCGGTTAAAGGATGTTCATCTTCCTGAATTATCTTGCAACACAGCTCTGTTGATTGTCACCATTGTGGTTATCATGCTAGTTCTGGGGACGGCTATGGCCTTCTGCTGCCTCTACTTTGATCTGCCCTGGTATCTCAGGATGCTAGGTCAGTGGACACAGACATTGCAGAGGATTAGGAAGACAACCCAAGAACAACTCAAGAGAAATGTCCAGTTCTATGTGTTTATTTCATACAATAAACATGATTCTACCTGGGTGAAGCATGAATTAATTCCCAATCTAGAGAAAGAAGAGAACTTGATTTGCCTTCATGAAGGAAACTTTGATCCTGGCAAGAGCATTACTGAAAATATCACGAACTGCATTGAGAAAAGCTGTAAGTCCATCTTTGTTTTGTCTCCTAACTTTATCCAGAGTGAGTGGTGCCATTATGAACTTTACTTTGCCCACCAAAATCTCTTCCATGAAAATTCTGATTACATAATTTTTATCTTGCTAGAACCCATTCCACTCTACTGTATTCCTACCAGGTATCCTAAGCTGAAAGCTCTTATGGAAAAGAAAGCATACTTGGAATGGTCCAAAGATAGGCGTAAATGTGGACTTTTTTGGGCAAAACTTAGAGCTTCTATTAATGTTAATTTATTAGAAACCAGAGAGATGTGTGAACTACAGACATTTGTGGAGCTGAATGAAGAGTCTCAAGGTTCTGTAATCTCTCTGATAAGAACAGACTGCCTATAAAAATCCTCCCTTCCCGTAGGGAAATGGGCCTTGCATACACCATGGGGATAGAAATTGATACAGCCTTTATGATGGTTATTTGGCAATATCATTTCAATGAAAAATGACTACTTTTATGTCACTTCCTCGAAGGATTTCTAAGAATGTATCCTACAGAAATACAAGTTTGCAAAGGCTTCTATAAAACGGTGTTCATCCCAGAATTATTTGTAATACTGAAAAATTGAAAACAGCTCATGTTTCCACAGAATAAAAACGAATTCAATAAATTATAGTTCATTAATGCGATAAAATGTTACAAAGCCATTAAAAAGAATGAGGTAGTTCTATATTTACTGGTATGGAGAAAATTATATTAATATGGTGGTTTATATATTGAAATAAAAGTCTAAATGAATCTATATTCAGTACTTTGGCATACTTTGGTATACTTTGGCGATTTCACTTTGGTATAGTAACAGTGGTTTAGGCCTGGGAGGTTATATTACAGAAAACTTTTGGTTTCTATGTTGTATATTTCCATAATGTTGGAGTTGCTTAAGTGAATCTATATTTCTTTATTAGGTAGAAAAAACAAGAAAGATAATGTTTAAAGCCTACGCATCCTATTTTGCTTGATTCTTCCTTTCTAGTCTCCCCAGTCATAGAAAGAAAACAAGCTTTTCTAAATTTTGCAAAATTATATTTCAAAAAATGTTACCTCCTTCATTAGAAAAATTTCTGTGACTTACCCACCTGATAAAGGAAGAAAATGGCCATGCTTGTTTAAGATCTGACACCAATCTCCTGTTACCTTCCTGCCTCCTATCATTGAGCCGTATCAAGTTATTGGCCCTTTTCCAGAACATTCAGTCTCTTTCTCTGCCCCCAGACCTTAACATATTGCATGACTGACTGTACAATCCAAATGTCAACTTTTTTTTTGAAAACTTCCTCACTTCTAAGTATGATGCCCCTTGATTCTCCATAACACTTCAAATATATTTCTATCACAAACTGATCATATATATTTTTAAAGTTTCCCATTCTCATTAGAGTATGAGCTCCTCAAAGGCAAGGACAGACTTCCCTCTGCCCTTATATCAACAGGTGTTTACTCAGTCCCTGGTTCAGAGAAGGTGTCAATAAGTGTTTATGGAATGGATGCCAGGTAAGCTAGAGGAACTTAGCAGGGACTCAACCAGCTTCAGGATAGAAAGTCAGGGGAAAAAGGCAGAGAATCCAGAATTGAAGTATTTCTGAGTATAGCTTGAATTATGTGAAATTGCCAATATGTGGTTGCTCTTGACCTACAACACCTACTTCATCTCATTCAATCTAATAAAACTAATATCCTAAGTAGGGTAAAATTAGGCTCTGCATCTACCTTATTTCCTTATAGTTGTGATCTTATGAATTTCTCATGCTAGCAGTCATTTGAGAAATTGTATTCAAGATGGTCAACTTGAGAGTATAGAGACAGGGTTGGGTGTCAATCTCTAAGCCATGTTGTGCTACCATTTGGCCAATGACCAGTCTACTTGGAGAAGCTAGAGCTCAGCAGCCTTGAGGCTGAGTGTCTCTCTTCTTCCTCCCTTATGAGCTCATGGTCTGTTTGGTAAAAGGGGAAACCCAAAGAAACCACAGTGCAGCAAGATCAGAGCATGGGGAGAATGCTTTTCCAACCAGGCTTTTTGCATCTGGGCCATTGCTATTAGTGTGATTCATGGCTTCTGGAGGAGTCAGACAGACACTGTATGAGTATTTTTAAATCTTGAGTAAATTACTCAGTGTGAGACATTTATCTTTAAAGATCAGTTAATTGAGAACATGTAAAGTAGGTAACATTAGTCCTGAAGTCAATAGGGTTGAGTTATTCCATGGTAGAATCCTCAATTTAATAATGCGGTTTTAAAAATAGATGTATTTTGTCAAATTAAAAAATAATACATTAGGTATACCTCTAGGTAACTTCTTGTTTCAGCAGCTAGACTACCATGAAATCTTACCTATCAGATCATTGTACTGTTCCAGAAACTTAAGATTTTCCAGAAAATTAGAACTTCCTAATTTGCTTGGTTTTGAGTCTTATTAGGTATATAATATTGACTCTTGTGGTATATAATAGAAAATGAATCATACATAGGTTTAATATTGGAACATGAGATTGAAGTAGCACCTAGCCTCATGCAGAACTGAGGATATACTTTTACCCAAGAAGTTTTAGATTTCATCGAGGGACCCACTCTCCTCAAGCATGACATTGATGAGGAAGTAAGCATACACAGACTGCATGCTGTAACAGAACCCAGTGTAATGAGTCTGATCATGTTTTGAAAATGATTCCAGGCCTTATGAAGTTGCAAGTTCCTTCCCATTCCCTTGCCATTTGCCAACCTGGAGCTTCTTCCATTTTTTCTCAAGGAGATTGAGCTCTGTATCAATATTGTTCAAGTCTTCTGCGGATTCTTCAGGATGCCTTCCCAACCACTGTGCATCTCTACAGATAAATGACACTATTTTCTGGGTGTCAACAGTCCAGTGTGGATAATGTTCTATATTCTATAAAAGTGGCAAAGAGGTCTATGATAAAATGGGATTATAATCCTCAAATTCCAAATGGTTTGGAGGGAGATGAGTTTTAAATCTAATTTATGGCAAATTTTCTCTGAGGTGCAACTCCTTCGTGTATTATGATGAATCATTCAAGAAAAGCATAGATTAGGAATGTAAGTCTATGAGTGAGAGTTTAGAACCTATCAGATATAACTCTCACTTTCAAGTGGGAAATTGCATCTTTGGAATTTTAAATGACTCACCTAAGCCTGAGGTCAAACATTGATCTTTTAACTCCTACACTGATGAGACTTTTCTTTCCAATCCAGGACAAGATGCCTCTTACTTTTTGTATTTGATTTCATCATTGTGATCCTTTCATTTCCATTCTCAACAACAGAGCCTTGGATTGGGCCCCTTGCATATCCCGCTTAGACTGTCCAAAATTATTTGTGCCTGGACTCTGCAGTGTCTCCCCACTGCCTTGGACCCCTTCCTCCATCCTGGCTACCAACTCTTTTGAAGGGCCTTTGTTGAATTTATAAGTCCTTCTTAGGGTCTGGTACTACCAAGACTGGCAGTGTTCTTCAAGTGAGATATCCCTGGCCCAGACCCAGACCCATATGGATCCTGGTCTTCATTTGTCCCCCTCAAGATGCTTTCTGACCCACTGCCTTACACATGAAGTCAATCACATATCCTGAGGAGCTCTAGAACTCATGCCTAGGGGGCCCTCTCAGAGTTTGGTTGTTGGACCCCAATTTGAGTTGGACAATCTGGCAAGCAGATCACTGCTGCTGGCTGAAGCAGTGTGGGACTACCCAAGATTGGGCCAACAGAATGGTGCTAACATGCTGATTTGAGATGACTCTCACACTGAACACAAGATGACTTCAGGGGTCAGGGCTATCAATAGTCTACCACCAGCCCTTAGACTTGAGCCACCAGTGTGGGCTTGTGTCTATCTGTGTTTTAACTATAGTGCCGCCTCTTGTCTATAGCACCATAGGATGGCAAGCATGGCAGCAGGTGTCTTTCACCCTGCACTCCTCCTCTTCCCCCAGCATCTGGCATCCAGGGTGATAACTGCCATTGCTGTAGGCTCTATGTCATGTGTTAGGCAGTCTTTCAAGGATGACTTTCAATATTGAACACAAATGGACCTTATAATCAATGTCCTCTTTTACCTTCCACTGATGTGGTGACATTGTGCTCTCCCTGTCCTAAGCCATGTTGAAGAGGGAAGTACTTATCCTGGAAGAGTGGGACTGTGCTTCTCTCTTCACACATGAACCCCTCACCGACCCTCCCCCACTGGTGTTAGTGTATGGAAGGCAAGGGTCCATTCAGCATCAAAAGAGCTCCCATTCTGGGAATGCAATGATTACTACCTCAATAGTCCATGGGAAGACAAGACTGGAAAATGCCTTGTTCTATGTTTATACCATAAAATTATGAATGGTAAACTTAACAAGACCAGAAAAGGAATATTGGTTCACATTGACCTGCATATTTTGGGGAAGGCTTGCATCAGTGAAGCACAGTACCAACCATTGAGAAAGAGTCATTGGAAGGCAGTGTGGACAGATGATGCAGTGTCACGGCTATTAATGTGACCAGTGTTATAGACATACTATT